TTAAATAATATGTAGATTGCATATAATACACAAATACCATAAATGATATGTAAATAATTACTATGCTGTATTGTTAGGGAATAATGACAAGAAAAATTATGTACATGTTCACAATAGATGCACTTTAAAAAAATACATTTCTCATCCATGTTTGGTTGAATCTGAGGATGTGGAAACTACAGATATGAATAGTCTGTTTATACTAAAACAAAAGTTACATGAATATGTTTTCTTTTGCTCTCTCACTCTCACTCTCCTTTCTTCTCACTTAAAGGAAGCACTTTATAGCTTCTCTTTGGCATATTTGAATTGTCAAAATCACTACTCTTGTGCTTTGGGGGTTTAATTAAGTAAAAGTTTACTTAAGCACAAGCATGGTTTTCAATCTGATAACTGAAATGACTACTAGGCTACTAACAGGAGGGTAGTATATACATTATGGATACCCTGGACAAAGGAAAAATTCATGTCCCAAGTGGGATGATATGGTGTACCATAAGATATCCTCATGCCACTAAGGAAGGCATGAAGTTTAAAACATAAATTGCCTATTTCTGGAATATTCCAGCAGTCTATGGGCAACTGAAACTTCAGAAAGTGGAAATGCAGATAAGGGGTTATTATTATAAAAAGACTTCAGCACTTTTGTGGCCACTTGATAAACAAGGAGAAGAAGCTGAATTTGAGAAGGCTCCAATCAATTGAGTAGAATAAAAGGTTCTACATTTTTCTATACACCTTATTAGAGTCAGCTACATAATTTGTGGACCCAGTGCAAAATGAAAGAGCAGCCTCTTTGTTCAAAATTATTGAGAATTTCAAGATGGTGACAGCAAATACTGAACCCAGTGTGGCCCTTCCGAGTGCAGGACCCCATGTGCTTGTCAGGGTCACTAGCCCAGGAAGCAGCGCTTCCGCTTATTTTTTCTCTGCTCTTGGTGCTAATTTTTTTGATATAAGAAATTTATTGTCTTTGCTAATCTTATTTTGACTCTCAGGAAATAGACATCACACTGCAGCACACAGAGGAAGTGTGGCCCCCTGCTCTGGAAAGACCAGGTGCCCACCTCCACATCAGGGCTTCCCCTGTCTTCATCTCTTTCAGAGCTTCTAGAGTCTGTTATGTTGAAATTGGGTCCTGGCCCAAAGAACTCCAACGCTTGTGCTCCAGACCCAGAAGGAATCCTGGCAACTCCCCAGTGCATGTATGTGGGAGGGGGCTGCCCTATGCACCCGTGGGTTGTGTCTGTCTGCCGATAGCATCCTGGGGATGTCTGTCACCTAGCACTACCCACTCTGTGTGCACAGGAATGCCCCATGGGCTGCCTGCTACCAAGCTGTGACTGCTGAGCATGCTCACAGGCTGGGGCTTACTGGCTGACTTCAGGCACAATCTGCTGTTTCTTCCTTCGTGTTATTTCACTTTTCCTGGAGAAGAAGGGAAGCGCACACCAAAAACAACAGGGAGAACCTGCTGCTCACATTCGTGGTTGGCACAGTGATAGCACTGCAGGATGACAACACATAGGAGATGTCCCACGGTCATCCTCAGGGTGCACAGGAGGAGCTTGCTGGGAACTGTCCACACTGTCTTCCATCATCTTCCATTTCATTTGGGAGAAAAAAATGTTTGAGAATAACCAGTTAATCTTATGAAGGTAATGAAAGAAGAGATCATGCAACATACAAGAAAGGGAATCATATGTGAAAATTACAATAATTTAAAACCATGATCATGGCCTAGGGATGAATAGATAGACAAATAAAATAAAACATAAACTCCAGAAACAGATCCTGGAAAAGAAATGAGAATTGAATATAAGAGAAAGGAAGCATTTCAACTTTTTATTTATAAAAGGAGTAATGCCGGGAATATGGCTCAGCTGCTTAGCACCTGCCTGGCAGGCGTGGGGTCATGAGTTCAATTCCCAGAATAAATAAATAAATAAATAAATAAATAAATAAATAAATAAATAAGGCATATTTAAGAAAACTTGCTAACTAATTGGAAAAAAATGAAGTCTTGATAGCACACAAATAAGTAAAATTGCAGATGGATGAAAGATGTAATTTTTTTGAAAAGTAAAAGTAATGAAAGAAACTGTAACTTACCTTGTAATACTGTCTCAAAATGAGGAAGGTCCTCTCCACAGGGCTTCAAGGTGCTCACCAGGAGATTAAAGGATGAATCTGGCCTCTCTCTTTCCACTTACAACAAAACAAATAAGCAAAAAGAGTGTGTAGATTGAACACCTTAGCCCATGAGAGAGGCAAATGACATAACAAAAGCCATATTTTTCACTCACTAGGATAAAGGATTTATACATTAAACCTGAAAGTCTAATATGCAGAAATTAATGGAAAGGAAAAAAGATATGAAAGTATGATTCACATACAAACATGTAAATTAAAGCAATGAGCTATCATCTTCTCCTTCTTACCTTGGCAAAGATATTTTATATTAGTAGTAATCAACTGAACATGTATCAGTAAAAGAATACATGAATAAGGGAAGAATAATTTAATAGTTCCATAGATCTGTTGAAGAAGCTGTGATGCATCCATAGTAAGCTCCTGATTGCATAATCCCAGTTTTCTGGACCATATATCTGCATACATACACGTATTTATATATAAAACCAAGAAAACATTATGTGGCCTACATTAAAGTATATAAAGTGATTATTCTTCAGTAGGAAGTTATGAGTAGTTTTTTTTTTCCTTTTTTATATCTATTTTTACTCTAGAAGTATTTCTTTTTGAAATATTCTGGTTGTGAAAGGAAGAGAACAAAATTTTTATTTCAAAGGAAAAGAAAACAAAGCAAATACTGCATCACTCTCTGCACCTGTGGAGAGTGCTGTGTGTGTCTCTTAAACTCGGAACCCCTGGTACCCCTGTCATGCCTGGCTCCCCTGGCATACCTAGTTTGCCTGGTTTACCTGAAGCAAGGGACAATCTAGAGAGTGGCACCAGAAAGTGAGTTGGTGGAGAATTTGTGTTTTTCCTGGATTCAGAAGATGGGGTCAAAGTTCTGCAAGTTATCTAATCCAGTGCTTTTCTTTTTTTTTTTTCTTTTAGTACTGGGAATTGAACTCACTACCTCATGCTTGCCAGGCAGGCACTGGGCCACTGAGCTGTATCCCTAGACTTGCTTTTCAAACTTTCACCATAAGACCAGAATTTCACCCAATAGAACCACTTCTTACCTCCAAGGAGAATGCAGCCAAAAGATTCCAGTTCTGGATTCCGCTCCTTTCCTTTTCCAACCCCTCTTGTCTGCATGGGCTCAGCCTAGCGACCGTTGCTTCTGATACAGAGACTGACTTACTGGGAAATTCCACAGTCAGACTGTGCTCTGTGAAGACGGACATTCATGTCTGCAGTGACCCAATCCAGGGACTGACCTCAGGGAGGCCAACCATCTGTGAGGGTTCAGAGAGCTTGGTCAAGCTGACAGAGGCAGGAAAATCAGCACAAACAGTGGGTCTGCAAAGCAAGTTGCCAGCTTCTGGGCAGGCACTAACTGTGCCCACCATGCCCACACAAACCTGCGAGGAAGCTGGCTCCCACCTCACCCTCTGTACCCTTCCTGAACACTGTCTGTGTCCTAGGAATTACATGCTCGCAATAGCTGTTACGAGAAATATGGGGCTGGGAGAGAAGGAGAGACAGACAGAGAGACAGACAGACCAGCTGTCGGGCACAGATGTTACATCGAGGTTGGATGCATCTGTCCATTCGGAGAAAGCAACCTAGGGCACTTCTGCAGCCACTGACTTCAAAGAGAGTCACTGGGAGGCGCCAGCACCTGGCCCTTTGATTTTCCTAGATGGCGAGATTAGAAATGTTCCTCTTTGTGGGATACCTAGCAGAAGGCTGGGCCTGGAGGACTGCAGAGTCCTCTTTCCCTGGAGTGACCTGCAGGAAATGCTTGGTGAATTCTTGTTAGAACAGCTAATTTTACACACTTCCATAAAAACAAGAAGTAAGCACACAACACCTCCTGTTGTGGCATGTGCTCTTCTGCACAAATTCACACTTGGGGCACAGATGGAGCTCACAAAGCCAGAGCATACCGGTTCATCTTCTCTTCTGGCATCTGAGTGCTCTCGTGTTTTCTTAATCTCTCTGTCTCTGTCTCTGTCTCTCTGTCTCTGTCTCTGTCTCTGTCTCTGTCTCTGTCTCTCTCTCTCTTGCTACTGAGATGCCTGGGTCTCTTTCTCTGTCCCTTGAATGTGCAAGCCCCCAGCCTCCTGAATGCGAACAAGGTCTCCGAGTGTTTGAGAGGAAGCCCTAATTAAAATCGCTGTCTCAGATGTCACAGGGAACAGAGGAATACTCCAGCTAATAAGACTTTTCCACAAGGCCCTTGACCAAGTGACTCTCTCTGTTTTAACTGGGAGCCAAAAGCCCTTCAAAATAAATATGGATCTCCATAGAGGGATAGAGTACATGGTTTTATCTTATAGAAATGTCCTGTTAGGAAGTCACCCTGACAGCTTGTCTAAGAAGCAATCAGAGAGGCTGAGAGGGGGCCCCCGCTCCGGTCTTGACCATTGAGAGGTGACCAAGCTTCAGCGCGGACCCCCACCCCAGACAGCAGGCCAGAAGGACTGTGTGGGAGGGGTCACGATGGCTGAGGATGGCACTCATCAGTCAGAGGAAAACGCAGAAATATGGGCCGTGATTGAAGGTGTGTCACTAGTCTGTGTCTGACGGGGGAGCTTTTACCAACAAACGTCCCCTCACAGAAATAGACATGGTTGGAAGGTGAGTATGGAAACTGAGAAAGGAAATGCAGACATTTTGAGTCTAAGCACTGGCGCAGAGCATGACACAGAGGAGCCACAGCGGGCTCCCTCCAGCTGGCCCCTCAGTGGCCTCTGTGGCCACGGCTGTCTCAAAACGAAGGAGGGCAAAGTGCATTTCCCAAGCTCCAGCCCCGACCGGGCCTCTAATTTTACTTCTCTGAGTGTGCCCTGATGGATTTGGAGGGAGGAGATGGGTCATAAATAAAACACAGCCCACAGCGGAGCCCTAATCAGCTGCAGCTGCTGCAGGACAAGGCCTGACAGGCAAATTGCATCATGATGGAGCGTTCCTTGGACCCTGCCACAAGAGCCGCCTGTGTGGGGGCGGGGAGCGAGTCTATTATTAGGGACAGGCCTGAGACGTGAGTTTGCAGAATTCTTTGCTCTGGATGAAAACCACACGTACAGAGGACAAACCCCTGGGGGGTAAGGGAGAGGCAGGGAGCCTGCATTTAGACTTCCTCTCAGCTTGCAAGATGCATCACACATGAAGAGGGCTTGGGGCTACCTGTATACAGGTAATTTTCTGTATTTTTCATCTAAGTCTAAACGTTAACCTATCCTTTAAAAGTATATGTTCTGCAAGTCACCAGAAAGCACCATGAAACAGAGGATGTTTTAATTAGGACAGTGGAATCACTTTGGGGACCTTTGATTGGCAGGAGGGGGGGCTGTCCTATGCTCCTCCACATTCCTGTTTTGCTTATTAAAGAGAATTATAAATCCACTGGCTTTTGATCAAAATAATTCCTTTCCAGAGATGAAAAGATGTTAAGATGAAGCCACGGCCTGGAAAGTAAGGCTTGCATTTCAAACCTGGCTCTGGGTCTTATACAAACTGTACCAAGCAATCTGTTAGAAATCAGCTTGACCATCTGAGGGCCTGTGGAGGGTGTCTTGGCTGCACATGGAAGTCCATCTGTGGGGGGATAGTTTGGGTGGTGTCTCCCAGCCCTTTGCAGCGGGGAGGGTGTTGTCCTTTGACCTCAAGTCGAGGGGGCTTCACAGGAGCCCACGGAGAGCTGGCCTGCCCACTTACCACAGAAACAGGAGCTTCAACTGGGGCACTAGCTGTGAGGGTGGGAAGGGAATCAGAGACTCCTTGTACTGGGCAGAAAGAATTCTTAGAACCTGCTGCAGCTCAGAATGCTGACGCCCTTGGACAGATGTGGGTCTGGGGCAGGCAGTGTTGACATTAAAGACAGCTGAGCTCTGTCTAACCAAGAGAAGCTGGAGTTGCAGGCAGCTGGAGTTACCCCCAGACCGGGTGTCCCAGCCCCAACTAGTGTTCAGAAAAGGCCCAGGCAGGGAGAGACCCCCCGACAGGCCAGTCATCCACCCAGGACCTTGAGAAGAGAAAGGCAAAGTCTCCCCTTTGATTCAGATACATTTTAGGACATATGAATTACAAATTGAGGCTATGTTCTGAGACTTGGTGACTTGAAAATAACCAGAATACTTCCAACTCAGAATACTTCTGGGTTCAAAAGAATCTCAAGAGGAGGAAAGGCCCGCCATTGTTGCCACCAAGGGGCAGGGGAAGCAATCTTCCCACAGAAGGCCTTCTAGGAACACGGAGAGAAAAGGATATTTTCTGATTGTGCAGGAAGTCTAGACTCCACAAGTTACAGTCATGAGGATTTTCTTACTAACAGCAAGCTGACGTTAAACCAAAGAGCAAGAGAAAGCTTGGAAAGGTTTGTATGACAATGCAGACTTAGAAAAATCCAACAATGGAAGCCAGAAAAAGGCTTAAAGTACGAAATGGTGAGATTCAATGGCCCCTAGAAAGTGAGGAAGAGGCCACCACCTGGTAAAGACCCGGCCAAGCAGGGCTCAGGTCAGGTTGTTGGCTCTTCCCTCTTTATTCCATCATTTGGAATAGCCATTTCTTCATTTAGATAAGGCAAGGGCTTTGGAGTAATTTTTCATGAAAAAGCAGCATGCCCTTGATATTGAATGTCCCAGCCTAACAGACCATGACTGAGTCATGGCTGCTCCCCAGATGACCCCATCTAGGATGCAGTGAGTGCAGATCACAGGCCCAGGGCTGAGAGTCAGTGTAGGGTCCCTAGGCAGCCACAGATGGTGGCTCTAAATCACCTCAGGAGCTTTGTCCAGCCTGAGAACACTGTGGCCTCAGGGTGCTGGAAGCAATTGCCTGGATACAGAGCAAAAAGAGGAAAGAAGGAAGAAGGAAGGAAGAGGAGGGGAGGGGAGGGGAGGGCAGGGCAGGGCAGGGCAGGGCAGGGCAGGGAAGGGCAGGGAAGGGAAGGGAAGGGAAGGGAAGGGAAGGCAAGTGGAGCGAGTGAACCGAATCCTTAGTGTGAAGACCAGACTCCAGGAAGGTAAGAGGCAGAGGGCAATGCTAAGCCTCTGGACCCCCGGCTGTCATCTTCAGGCTCAGAGGGCCTGGACAGCCGCTGGATGCCATGGCAGCCACTAACCTCTGGCAGGAACCAGTGATGCCCTTGTGCAGGCCCCTGACTGTTCTCATCAGGAGAATCCGCTTTGCAGGGGTGATGGGGAGCTCATATTTGGACTCCTTCCCTGACACTCCACATCGCTCATGAACAAGGCAGGAGGCAGTGGATCACAAAGGTCTCTTTCTTCTGCCTCTTACTTCCTTCAAGGTCTGGTCTGGGTTTCTAGTAGCACTGAGGAGAAGCTGCAGGTACTTCCAAGAGAGATGCATACCACCTGTGAGGCCCCGGACACCCACTCATTGCTGTGTTGCTACTGGGAACACAAAGGAAGCCACACCAGGGCTGCCGTAGGGCCAGGCACTTCAGTGAATTTTCCAGGTACACTGAGGTCAGTTAGTCAGTTTCATCTAACTGTGGTGTGGTTTGAATTGAATGAAGTTGCACAGGAGGCATCGAGCAGAATTCCCATCAGAGTCTTGTCCCTGGGCCCCTGTACCTCTAGACGGTGGGCTGTGATACTCTGAGGTATGTGAGGAGTGAGGTATGGAGACACAGGGAGGAGTGGCAGGAGGGTCCCACAGGAAGTGGTCACGCCAGAGAAGCTGGTGCTGAGCACTTGGACAAGGCCACTCTTCTGCAAGGCTCCCGAGCCCCAAGAAGGGGAGTAGGGCATCCCAGCCCCTAGACCTCTGCACCTGGACAGTGGGTAAGATAAAGACCAGGCTACATCCATAGCCTTTTAACATGGTGTCTAAAACCTTTCCCTGTTCCTCTGTGGCACAGCGCTTGCTCCAAGCCTTCCCTTTGCCCAAGTCTATGAAAGTCTGGACCATGTCATCAGCAAGGTGCCAAGTGAACTGCCATGAGCAGCCAGATATGCAGACACCCACTCACCTGCGTGTCCTCACTCTGAGCATGGCACCGGTGAGCACGTCCCCTGTGAAGCCGGGGGTCTTCAGACTCCAGTTTCTTCTACGTATTTGCAGCAGACTACAAATGACAGCAGGCTCTGCAATGGCCCTGGGCTTCTGGCCTCCCTATTAGGTTCTCAAAGATCCTTAGAAATAATCTCATTCAGGCATTTTTCAAGTGCTAAAAGCAACTGAATGTTTTCTTTTTTTTTTTTTTTTTGGTTTTTCTCCGGTACCGGGAACTGAACTCACAACCTTGCGCTTGCCAGGCAGGCGCTTTGCCGCTGAGCTAAATCCCCAGCCCAACAACTGAATGTTTTCTTTGGATGAACTTTTATTTAGAAGCCCACTACAGAAACCCCGCATGCTGTGATTTAAATGCATCTTCCCAAAGTTTGCATATAGGGAACTTAGCCTCCAAAGTCCGGTGTTGATGCTGTTTGGAGATGGGATTTGGAGACACATTAGGATTTGATGAGGTCCCAAAGGTGGGACTCCAGTGACAGCAGAGTGACTTGACGAGAAGAGGAAGGGAGACCTGACCTGCATGCTGCTCCATCTCATAGTGAGGCATCCTCTGTGAGTTACAGTGCAGCAAGGCTGCTGGTGCCATGTCCTTGGACTACCCAGCCTCCAGAACCTCAAGCCAAGTAACCTCTCTCTTGATAAAGTACCCAGCCTGTGATCCTCAGTTACAGCAACAGAAAACAGAGTAAACACTACGTGAGAGCAAGAAATCCTTCTCACAGCCCACATCAGAGGGTGCTCTGTAAATTTTCCTGTTTCTCACAGAACATTCTGAAGACATTATATGGACTCAGGCTGCCCGTGAGACAGAAAACAATGAGACACAAAGGCACTGAGCTGGCGGTCACTCAGCATCCTCCCTCTTAGTCCACAGCCTTTACCCTGAATGTGTCTCCACAGCACGGGGGTAATACTTTATCCCAAAGTTTTTGCTGCAGACAAAGTCAGGAGGCAGCACATAAGAGCTTGTTTAGGCCCGTAAGCTGTTGTCCAATCTTGCAGAATGCAAAAGTATGTTCAGATTGCCTCATTAGTGAGGGAATAAACAATTAGAGAGAAAAAATGAACAATAAATAGTTAGAGAGAATCACATTTCAGTTATCTTTTACTGCCCAATTCTGTAGACTGATGTAGCAATTTTCCTGCTAACCCAGCATACATTTGGCTAAAGACATTTGCATTTTCTGCTGTCCTCTTAAGTCGAATTTAGGTATCTTACTATGTAAGGGAACACCTCGCAGGGTTTCAACAGGCCCATTCTGGCAAGTGTGAAGAGTATTTGCTTATATCCTCAGTCTTTTAGCAAATACTTGTCAGAGAGTCAGGAAGGTTCAGAGGCATTTTTCAAAAGAAATCTTGTCAGCACTGAGTCTGGAAAGATATGCATGGGGCAGCTGCAGAAGCACTGGAGGGAGGCCAAGCACCCTGAGGGACAGGATACCATGGGGAAGCAGTGAGTGGGGGCCAGGCTCGTCTTATTTGAGAGACACTAGAAGTTTCCCCACTGACATTTCTTAAGAATAGGTCACCAGCCAAGGAAATGGGACATTGCTGGAGATGAAGGGAAGAGAAAATTAACTGAGCATTAGTGGAGTTGATATCCAGGAGCCTGTATGTGTGCGCATGTGCATGTACGCGTGCACCTGGTAGGAGGGGCTGGTAGTGCAGGCTGGGATACTCCCTGAAAGTGGACTGGAATGAATTAGGCCTCAATTTTACTTACAAAATACGAATTGAAAGAGGCTTCTGAGTGAGGTCGAGTGATTCCATCGTGACTGAAAGGCTCAGCCTATTCCTGGCTCTATACTTCGTCATCCTCAGACACAGCCTATGCTTCTCAGATTTCCCTTGTTCTTGGGCATGGCCCTCATTCTCAAGGTTCCCTTAGCTTTAGCCAGGCCTGTGTCCTCATGTGCTCCTCTCATCTCAAATGCCTGCTGTGCTGCCCTCTGTCACAGCTGCATCCCCAAATCAAAAACAAAAACAAATCAAGGGAAAAGGAAAAGTATGGAAGTCTTCTCCCTGGTATCTGCACATGGCATTGGCTAGAGCTGGTCACCTATCTGTCATAGAAGGTGGGAAGTTTCATTTTATAATTTACAATACTAACACTCAGAGTAAACTTATAACTCTCCTAAAAAGAAGGGTATAAAGCATGCTGGATAAGAAACCAGCCATTCCTTGTAAGGAGACTTGGAAGGAGGCTGAGGGGAGTGAGCACAGGAGGAGGCCAAGAGGCAACTTCCTTCCGTTTGTCTCTGCCTGGAGACCCAACCAAGGCGATGCAGAGGGTCTTCCTGTAGAGTTGTTACCTGCAGATGTGCTAGTTGCCCTTGGATACCACTGTGACAAGATTCCTTTTCTCCAAGGTCAAAAAGCCTGGGGTGTGGTATATTACCATGTTTTTGAGTTGAAGTTCTATAGGACATCATTAGTTCCTTGCATTTTTAGAAAGGGCTTGTGTAACAGTCACAGGGATTCACTGTCCTGAGAGAACAGCCCCACAGCTGTTCTTACAGAGCTCCCAGGGACACCAGGAGTGGAAAAGCCCCACTCCGTGCCAAAGCTTTTGCTACATGCTCTAGTTAATTAAAATGACACAAGATTATTTTGCAAGGCTCATAAAACGCATCCTTCCTCTCTTCATCTGTATCACAGGAGCAAGCAAAGAAATCAGGGTCAATTTATCTTCACTTGGCTTATTGTCTTTTGAAGTTGTTCTTAAGTCATCAAGTCCTTTAAAGTATTGTGCAAGTTTGCTGTGCTTGAATTTTGGAGTCGTTGAGGGGAGTGTGTGGAAAATTAAACCCCAAAATGTGCTGACCATGCTAACAAAGAATAATAAATGTGATAGATGAGGGGAAACTTCACTTGGGTTCTTTTCCTGCCAGTTCATCCAAGTTCATGCTTGCTGTTGACTTTAGTCATGTCCAATGATGGAGGTGACAACACTGGCTGACTCATATTTCAACTTTATCTGCTGAAATCTTGTCTTTTGAAACTGGAGCACACCAAGAAAAAGCCTCGTGCTGAGGGCTTGAGTGGCAGTGAGTTTTGAACCACAGAGGAACTGGAGGTCTGTGTCCCTGCATGCTGGAGCTTCCAGGCCAGTGAGCTCTGAGGTCTCAGCGCAGCTGGCTGCCTTGCTGCTATTCTGAAGTGGTTCATGTTCCACAGGACAGAGTGAGCTAGAAGCTGCCACCATTCAAGAAATCTTCTCAGAGGCCAGCATCATGATAACAACTCCCCAGGGGCAGGCACACTGAGGCAAGACTGACCACCTCCCTCCCTGCTTTTCCAAGAAGAATAAATAATTCTTTATCCAAGCCAGGCTGATGTTTATCTCTTGGGTTGTGGAGACATGGAAAGAACAACAAGAACAGCAACAGCTTCCCTCTCTGCTGAAATATTTGAGGCCTAAAACAATGAACTGGCATTTGAGGAGGGCAGATATGTCAGACTGAGCCCCTCTGAAGAAGCATGCCTGGAATTTGAAGTCTGGGCCAGGACTGTTCCAAAATGTAGTGCACTTGTAGAAAACCGGAGGTGTACTGAGGCCGACAGTAAGAAGAGGATAGGCTTGGGACTCCCAGGTTCCAAGACAAAGCGACAGGCCAAGCCATGCAGGGTGACACAGGAAGCACCCTTAATCCTAGTGCCTGTGGGTCTAACACTGCACCAGGAATAAATCACACACTCTAGATCCAGCCACCGCTGCAGTCAGAAGGCAGTGGACATTGGAGGAAAATGAAGTCAAGAGCCTGTGTGGGGGTCTGCAGGGAAGGACAGGTGAGGTAGGGCAAGCAGGGCTAGGGCTGGTGAGCAGAATCCTGATTTCACTAGGCTGTACAGAGCAGGGGCTCCATATGGCTGCCTGGTGCCTGGGCTGGAGCAATAAGGGCCAGGAATGTGGCCTGGAGTATGACAGTCTAGTGAGGGGGGTGAGCTGGTGTGAGCTCTGGACTGGTGGGTTTGTATTTGAAAAGCATGCTTTCAGAGGTGATTTGTTTATTGTCCACAAATTGGCCAGCTCTGGGAACAATTGCCCCTCTAAGGCCAGCAGGGTCAAGGTATCAAGGCATCAGAATGTAAACAATAAAAGATACAGCAAGTACAGCCCGCCCTGGGCTGATGAGGTAGGAAAGCCACCTGGAGCAGCTCCTGGTGCAGAGACAGAGTGCGGTGTGGAGCCTGCAGGCCCCACTGAGGACAGATGTGCAGCTGCTCCTCCTGCAGTGCAGGCCTCTGACGCCGGCCCCAGGGGTTCGGCAAGGACAATTCTCCGCGGGCAGCAGTGAGGCAGCCTGAGCCACAGAGTTGGGACAGTGGTGGGAAGCCATGTCTTAGTTACTTTTCTCTTATTGCTGAGACAAAATACTCATTTTTCCCCAAGGTTAAAGGAGGAGAGGTTTATCTAGCTCACAGTTTGCAGAGGTTTCAGTCTGTACACACCTGGCCATAGGGTGAGGTGGTGTGACAAAGAACAATCCATGATGGACAGAAGAAAGCAAAACAATAAATGGTCTTAGCAGCGTTTTTCTGTCTCTTTTTAACCAGGGTACTTGGGGTAGATTGCACCCTTAATCCTAGTGCCCCTGGGTCTAACACTGCACCAGGAATAAATCACACACTCTAGATCCAGCCACCTCTGCAAAGCCCCACCTACGACCACATGAGGCTTTGGGGGGACATCTAGACACAAGTCATGCCACCTTGTGTTTCAGACTGGTGGCCCACTTGTCACCAACTGCTTACTCTCTTGGGTTTTTTGAGTCCTTTGCAGATAAAGAGAAAAATTTGCTTCATGTGGATACTCCATGGATTAAGGAGCAAGCCTCCAAGAGATCTCACAGTGTCTCTCCACGGAGAAGGAGTGGTCTCCCGAGTGTGTGCATTCAGTGGGGTCGCACCCCGGAATCCTGCATAGAGCCTGTCTGGTCGGCTACCTTCTCCAAAGACTAGAACAGCAACAGCAAACCAGTCCCTGCCCCAAACTGTGCCGGCCTCCTTTGTCACGGACCCTGGGGGCAGACAGGTAAAGGGTGCAAGTCCCATCCTGCTTTGGCCCCATAGGCTGGGCAGTCCCTCCGGACCCCAGTCCCTGGCCCACTTTCCCTGCTTCCTGAGCCAGTGCCCACTTCTCAGCTTTCTGCCCCACCCCCATTCCAGAAGACTGGCTTCCCTGAAAGCCCGGCCTTTCCCAAAAGTGAGCCAAAGTGAGAAGCAATGAAGCATCCTTTCATATCCAACTCTTCTTCTTGTGAAACAGAAAATTGCAAAATAGCACTCTAAGAAAAGCTCATATATCTAATTGCTATGTTTAAAATACCCAAGTGAGCACGTTGTTAAAAAATAAATAAAAAGGGATCATTTTCCAGGTGTAAGGAAGGGGGAAGGTTAAGTATGACTCCATTAGATAGAGATCATCTGGCACAGTCCCTAACTCCAGGGAGACCAGAGACGGGTGAGTGTGGTGGGCTCAAAGGTCATCCTTGAGGCCCTGGAGCTGAGCTCATTATCACCCACTACCCAGCCCTCAACAGTCCTCTCCTGTCTTCCAAGATAAGGCCTCATACAAACCCCCTAAAGGAACTTCACACAGAAACTCTTTTTCATATCAGAGTTGGAAGCAAAATGAATTTCTCAGAAATAAATAAAAGAGTAAAGCAAAAAGATAGATGATAGGAAACAGAAAGACAGACTGTTTGGAGATGTGGAAGGGGATCAGGGCAGGGAGGGAAGCGGGGAGTAAAGGAATAAAAATGATCGAGGTATGGTATATACATGTACCAAATTCCCCCAGTGATCATAACCATTATGTATACAAACATACCATACCAATACTAAAATAAACAATTTTCAGGAGAATTGAATAAAGGATGCAGAAATATAGCCCCCCAGAAATAGAAACAAATGTTCTAAAGATTAGGTCCCTTTAAAGTCTCTCCAACGACTCCTCATTTACCAAATCTGGTGGACTCCTGCCAGGATCCCCTGTGGAACAATCCAGTCCTCAAACCCACCAAACCACCCACCAGGGGCTGTTACCCACTGCAGCAATAAGAAATCTAAGTTTGTCAATGCATATGTGTTCCTGCTGGTCTTTAGCTGATATAAATGATCACTGAGTATAAATGTGATATATGTGTATATGAAAAATATAAAATCCAATGAAAGCAAAATAATACTCATATTTCACAAGCAAATTCAGTTACTTTCAGTTTTTTATTATATTGATCTGATTCAGCTGACTACACTTTCTAATTTTCTTTTTAATTAGGAAACATTTCAAACTCAACCAAAACAGAAAATGCTGTCTTAGACACTTGTTTACCCACCGCAGAGATATACATAAAAGCATTTCTTTGCTATTGTCCCAGACCCTAGGGGAACAGAAAAGAAGAAATAAGATATTAGAAATAAAAGGTAGAATTTCACGGTCATTTGCCAGTCCTTCCTCTAGCTGCAGTGTAAACCCTGAATTAAATTAGGACTAAAACATGACTTCAAATAATCATTATAAATGCATGGGTCTAAAAGTAAGTGTATCAAAAAACAAGTTAGCTTTGGGTACTTTTAAAATTATACATTATTGATGTTCTGTAGCATGCATTATTTATTATATTTTCCTTTAATTACTATATCTTTGCTATTGTCCCATGTTGATATACACAGATCTAGTTCATTTCTTTTAACTGCTTTGTAAATTCCGTTATGTAAATAAACCATTCATAGTCATGCACTACCTCATGGCATAGTTGTGTTGGACCACAAATAGAGCAGTGGCCCCATAAGTTTACTTGACCTACCAACACCTTAGCCAACTCTAGCCCTGCACAGTGTCTGCACAATGACTAAACTATCGAATGATGCATCTCGCAGAACATATCCCATCTTTAAGCCACACATGACTGTATTTGTTCATTCCTGGACTGAAATGCAGTTTGTTTCCAAAATTTCCACTATTATAAACAATACTGAAAAGTAATTTCCCCTGTGCTGCCCAGTGCTCATCAGGAAGTAGGTTTCTGGTCACAGGTTGCATTTATCAGCTTTTCTTTTTTTTTTTTTTGGTTTTTTCTCCGGTACCGGGAACCGAACTCACAACCTTGCGCTTGCCAGGCAGTCGCTTTTGCCGCTGAGCTAAATCCCCAGCCCCCTATCAGCTTTTCATTGCTGAACAAAATACCTGACATCCACAACTTCAAGGAGGAGAATTTTATTTTGGCTTACAGTTTCAGAGGTTTCAGTCCATAGTCAGCTGGCTCCTAGGAAGGAATGGCATGACAGAAGGACAAGGTGGAGGAAAGCTCCTTAACTCATAAAATTCCTGAATCAGAGAGCAGAGAAGGAGCACAAGAAGAGTGGCCAGGGACCAAATATAATTCCTAAGATCATGCCCCCATATCCACTTCCTCCAACTATCTCACACTTCCTAATAATCTATTTAGCTATGAACTCACCAGAGGATCAACCCATTTGATGAAGTTAGTGCCCTCACTGTTCCATCGTGTCAAGTTGAATATCAAGATTAACCAGCACACAGGTTATCTGTATCTTCACATGTAATCCTATTGGCAAATTGCTCCCCTAAGTGGGAATTGGAGGAACTCCATCTCCCTGCTGTTCTTGGAAGCTCCCCCTGCTATCTGTGTTTATCTTCAATGGAGTTATGGCCATCCTCCTCCAGCTGGCTTACATCTGGGACTGGAACATGGTTCACACAGCAGCTGTCTGATTTCTTGCCTCAGGTGTGGCCAAGCTGACAGCACTCTAGTGAAGCTGTGCATGTTCCAGGGACATTCCTGGAGAGGTGTCCTTCTCTGATTCTGCCAGCACTCTCCTATCTGCAAGAAACCTCCCTCTACTTAAAACATTTAGATTGTTTTCTGGTTGCTACCTTGAATTCTGACCCCTACACTGCCAGTGTTGAAGAGTGTCTATTGGAGGGGCGGGTATTAATAGATTGTTTTTTGCCATCAGATAGGTGGAAAAATGGGCTGTTTTGATCTGCATTTTACTGGCCATCTTGCCATTTTAATCAACTATTTAGGCACTTTTTAAAAATATATCTATTCACATTCTTTGCTTATTGCATTAGACTGACTAACTTTACATAGTACAATACAGTTAAGCCAACCACAATGATATATACTTTCTGTACTCTGTTCTATATGTCCCCCTTTAGATAACAGTACATTTCCTTTATAGTTACAATGTTTATCTAGGGCCAGGGAAGGGATGAAACAACCCAGGCAGGGCCATAGGTGGTTATCTGGGCCCCGGTGTTCTTTGTCTTTGGAGAAGCATTCCAGGGCTAAGTCAGGACTGCAAAGTTAACTCTTTACAACCTTCTGGGATGTTTCTCAAGACACACTTTGAGGCTTGCATTAAGACTAGAATTATTCTATCTTAAAATGATATGCTAAGAGTCATTGTCCCCTACACCCTGTCAGGTCATCTATTTATTTTTGTCCCTGAAAGGAGAAACACAGCATAACTCAAAGCAAAACCGAGCACACACCGGACTACTAAAAGGACTTCCACTGAGTAGCAGAAAAAAGTTGAAGTTACATAGGGAATGTCCTATTTGTTTTGTTGTTATTGCTTCTATTGAGGTTGTTGGTAGTGATATCTGCTTTGACTTGGCTTTCTTTATTTTAAAGAGGAAAACAATTAAAATAACAATAAAACAGACTTTCAACCCATTCCCTTTTGTTTCTCCTTATAAATGGCTTGACTTTTTCTTGGGTTTGTCTCATTCTTGGAACACCTTTCCAAATTTAACCCTACATTTTTTCTAATTCACTTCTACTCCTCAAGCTGTTGGTTTTATTAGGCATGTAGCATTACAATTATCATAGGAAATAATTTTTATCAAATATTTATCGGTTTATAACATTGATGTCCATGTTTCTAGGTTTAAGATATAGTTTCTTTGCTTTTCACCACAAGATCTATCTCTACCATCCACAGTGCAGGCCAAAGTAATCCATAGCTGACACTTAATTGTTATTGAGAAAGACCATGTGACAACAGGCAGAAATGCTGATACAATTGGAGAAAAACACAAAATAAAAGTACGAGCTGAATACCATTAGACTATTTTTTTGTTTCTTATGGGTTTCTTTCTCATTTTTCAGTATTATTGAAAATTTCTATAAGGACCATCAAAATGAAAGAATGTTATTTTAAATTTTTGAAAGAAATAAAATAAAGAAAGAGCTGGGATCTTTAGCCCTCCCTGGGAAATTCCTAGAGAGTGAGCAGTGCTTTGGGCATGAGTAAGAGAGTTCTATGTCTCTGTGACCCTAATTAAACACTGAATAACTCTCACTTCCATTTCCTGGCTATTTCCACTCTAATTAACTCAAGAGAATAGATTATGCTAATGACTAATTAAATTTTTGACCCATTTGTATAGAAAGCTCAGTAACTCATGATATTAGGGTACTATTTATTCTAGAATTCCTTTTTTATTTTAAAGAGAGTAGTAGGGCCCGGATATAGCTCAGCGGTACAAGCACCTGCCTGGCAAGTGTAAGGTCCGGAGTTCAATTCCTGGTACCACAACAAAACAAAACAAAACAAAACAAAAACACAAACTAAAGAGAGTAGTAACTGAGATACAAACAAAAAAATAGAACAGTAGCAGCATACCAGTATCACAAACATAAATAAATCAAAGCAAGAACATTCAAAGTGATACAGGGTCTCAAGACAAAATAACATGAATCAACAGTGATTGTTACATTCCATATTCCTATCCACAACTACATTCTCAGATTACCAGATGTAAGAATGAAAGATTGCTCAAGCTATTAAAGAGAATAAGAAAATAATTCTTCAATAAAACTTTGGAGATAATACAGAGTATCACTAGACAAGATGGTAGGAGTTCAACATTGCAATTCCAGTGCATATTGCTACCTTCAAATCAGTTGCTCAGACCACCAGGCACAAACATGCAAAATGGATCAGAACATAAAAAACTGTGAACATTAACTGTTCATTTCAATACACCATCAGACTTCAGCAATATAGTCACTGCAGCTATTCATATCTATCTATCTACCTATATATATATTTATATTTTGCCTGCTTTCTTTCTTTTTTTCTACTTTTCCTCATCCCAGTCATTCCTTCCTTTCAGTAGTTTCTTTCCCTTTCCTATCATCTATTGTATGTTTTGAGTTTTACCTAGTCTTTCAGGTTCCTACACCAAGGAGACAATATGATGTTTACACATCTGGATCTGATTTATTTCACTTATGAGTATGGTCTCTAGTTGCATCCATTTACCTACGAAAGCCTCGGGTTTATCTTTCTTTATAGCTG